AGTGCAGTACTTGCAGAACATACCAGAGTTTGGCTTCAAGAAAAACGTTGCAGACTGTCGACCTTGTGAAGATCGACACATCTCGGTGAGACCAGCGCATAGCGCGTTGTTCCAGGTTGATCGCCACATCCGACCAGCAGGCCGAGCTGTTTCTGATCTGCTGCCGAAGCACTCCAAGGTATTCACAGGGCGTACAGATCCATTCGATACCCTAGTATTCAGAGGGCGTCGTTGCCCAGGGTCCGTGCCAAAACCCTCTGCATTTCTGCAGGTTCACTGCCGCACCAGTTGCCGCACAGAAATTGCGCGTGAGCGCTACAGCGTGAATGACACTTGCTTTGTCCCTGCAGATGTAGGCAATGTCGTCTGCGTATGCCAAAACTTTGGTTTCTACACCGCGCAAGGCGTAACCTTTCACCCTCTCGCTTTTGATGATACTCTGACACAGCGGCTCTAAGTATAGAGCAAAAAGTAGAGGGGATAAAGGGCATCCCTGTCGCACTGACGACTCAACAGCTATGCTTTCCAAGACATTATTATTAAGTATTAGGCTGGTGTGACAATTAGTATACGACATCTTAACGCCCTGTAAAATTATTTCCCCAGCACCAACCTGTTCCAGAATCTTGAAAAGCACATTATGTTGAACCCGGTCAAGCGCCTTCGCCAGGTCTATTTGGAGCACCGCGACCTGACTGCCTTCAATGGACACAGATTCCAAAATGCTACGGGCTACGTGAATGTTACTTTGTATTGCTCTTCCCCTAATTCCACATGTTTGGTGGTCCTTTACTAAGTCAGTGATTACCCGCTGTAACCGAGTTGTCAAAATTTTAGCCCAAATCGTATAATCTACGTTACAGATTGCATGGAATAGGTCGATGACCACCGACGTGGCGGAGTTCGTTTTTGTCCTTACTCTTCGGAATTAAAACCATGCGAGTACGTAGAAAGGACGGGGGCAGCGCATTCGATTGGTATGCCTCTCGAAATAACACTGACAAAATTGGCAAATTACGTTTTTTATGCATCTTATAAAACTCAGAAATAATGCCGTCAAGGCCGGGAGTTTTTCCGTTAGAAAGGCCATCGACTGCATTTTCTATTTCTGCTAGACTAATCGGGTCTTCAAGATCCTTTATTTGTTGTTCGTTTAGACGCGGGAGCAGGGATGTCAGCCTGATGAGGCATTTGGTGTCTTTTATATCTTCGCTTTTCCCAAAGAGTGAACGGTAGTGTTCGACGAACACGCGCTGAATCTCCTGTTTATCTGTAACTATTTTATTGTTATGCTCTATTTCTAAAATTTCCTTCGTCATGGCGTGGCGTTTTTCGTTTCCCATTGCTTTTTATAAGTTGCTCTCCGAGGAGACATCTTTCAGCTCGGGAGCGCACGTCCGCGCCTTGATATCGCTCTTGATATATGCTGTCTAACTGAGCCTTTACATAGCTTATATCTTTCGCTCCCTGTCCTGGGTTTATACATTCAAGCTCGAGCAAAAGACGCAAAACATTCAGTAGCTTTTTTTCTTCTTCTTTATGCTCATGGCAACTAATTATTGTTGGTCTTTCTATTGCCAGTTGCTTCAATTCTTCTTTGAAGCGCTCCCACGCCGCACTAACGGGCTGCTTCTGGCTAGCTACTTGTTTAAGCAGTTGTCTCATGTCTGTTGTAAACGTTTCATCTTTAAGCAGCTGAGAATTAAGCTTCCATAGCTTCCAATTGATGCGCTTCGGTTTTCGAAATGTCTGGCCTATTCTTATGGCGACCATGCAGTGATCTGTAAAATAAACCGATTGTACAGCGTAACTGTTTAATTCGTTCATGAGTTCTAAAGAACAATAAATCCTATCCAGACGGGCGTGTGATGCTTGCTGGAAATGTGTAAAATAAATGGTGCGTTCTCGCGAATGAAATTCCGCCACGTCAGTCAAATCGCACTCTTCAATTATGTCAAGTAACAAATGTTCGCTTTTGTCGAGGCGCGTTCTAGTGGGAATCCTGTCTTCAGTTTTCCCGACACAGTCAAAGTCACCAAGCATGATGACTTCCGATCTCAAAGTGGATGGGAACGTAAGTTGTTAAAAAAAGTAACTCGATCGCTGACGCCGTTAGGGGCATAGACGCAAACCACCCTCCGCTCTGTATTTGAGACGGTAAAATCACACATGACAAATCTGTCAGAAAGGTTGCTTGTTACCGTAAATGGAACAGTTCAACGGACTTTTTAATTAACAAAAAACGTAATGCCTGCTTCACCTGCTCTTCACTCGGTAATTTTGTTTCTTGAATCGCCAAAAAGTCAATTTCCCTGTCCTCAAGTAAACAATGCAACTGGTATTGCTTTTTCCTGGAACTAAACCCTCTAACATTTAGAGTGGCAAAGCCAAAACTCCGGGCCGTTTTGTTTTAAGGGGGGTGTGATTCCTGAGCCTGCCAAACAGGTTGTTTCACAGGAATAAGACGTTTACATGCGGTGGTGGCGGGAACTAAAACTTGCTTTCTCTTGGCTTCATTCCCTTTCTTCGGTGCATTGGCGTCGGGAGCAGAGGTGTCCATTTGGTCACAGTCACGGCGGTCCTCCCTGTTGGGCCGCGCACTACTATCCTTAGGCAATGCTGCCTTCAGCTGTTGCTCTTTGCTGGTTGGACTGCTGCTAAAACTGGAGTCCTCCGCAGCTTTGGTGCCCTCGGCCCTCGAAGAACTGGCTGCAGCTGACTCAGCGTCCGGAGTGTTGCTAGTCGTCGCCGTGCTTTCTGGGGCTAGGGGTGTGCCCTCTGCTTGAGCAGTTGACGCAACTTCACCAGTCACGTCCACAACCTCAGAGACGTCCATGAAGTGTTCTTGGTTTTGTCCTCTTCACTGCTGCCCCGTAACGCAGAGGCTTACGTTGAACAGCACTCACTGCTCTCGTGACCGAATCTGTGACACTTAACACACTCCGGGGCGCGGCATTGCCTCCGAATGTAGCCTACTCTCTTACATCGCAAACACAGTGATGGTCTTCCAGGTACCAGCAGAAGTGACTGCACGCCATGCACCCTGAGCATATGGGGCAGCTCCGCAGAGGTCACGGCGTCGTGTAACGTCAACAAGACTTGTTTGTTTAGAGTCCGCATAGTTTCCATGCCCGGCACTCTCCACTTTTCTCTCGTGATGGTCCGCAGCTTGCCATATGGCTCGAGGGCTTCAGCGACCCGCCGGTCCTCCAAGTATGTTGGGAGCCAAAGCAGCTTCACCTTGATATCCTCGAATTCGGGTCGATCACGAGGCATGTTTTACCCTCAGGGTCAACATCCATGCGTGGCTCATTTGGTACTGGCCAAACGACACCACGTCGCAGCCATCGACGATTTCCTTGAGGCCGTTACGAAAGTCGACGGCTCTGTACGGTCTGCCAGCGAGGTCGGCATGCAGAAACACGGAATTCATGCACATCTTTCCGTCCGGAAAACGGGGGAGCAGAATACGATACTCATCGGTAACGCCGGTTGCGGCATCCGTGATTCCTCGGCTCACGGGAGCCGATAACGCGCTGTTATCAGGGCGCTGCATTTTCCGTCCGCTCTCGATGAAAGCCGGGAGCGAACTCCCTGAGCTACTGAAGGAACTGTTGAATGCGTAGTAATGAAGCAGGTCGGCTGTATGTCGGAAGTTTGCTGCCGATTTCCCTTCACTTCATACACTCCCGGCTTGAAGTCGGGCAGCACCACGCATATGCCACATTCGCACCTCGTAAAGAAACCGTACGCGTGCGTATTCAACTCGAAGTACGCACTTCGTGCTTGACGTTTGAGGGAGCGATGCCTTCAGCCATGAGAAGGGACGACGGCTCGGCGACGTTTTCGTGCAGTCGGCTTGCTGGTCGGGCGTGTCGTACGGGATGAATATTAGTTCTTTTGATCGGTCCAAAATTTCTCTTTCGAAGGAAGACAGATTTCGCCGGTACCGTGAACGACAGTTCCGAAGTAGAGGTCCTACGCCCGTCGTCCGCTGCCATCCGCTAGTCCCACGATACGCGAAACGACGCCATGTTGAGAATTATGCAGTGAAAGCACAGAATGCTTCCGGTTGTCTGTACTACCTTTTTTTTCAATCAACGGACTTGCAGCTTTTTGGAAGCCACAAAAAATGGGTTTCATATTTTCTTTTATTTTTAGTATTGACTGTGTGCCTTCAATAACCCACGACTTTGTTTAAATTTGGTGGTCGCGTCGAAACCTTTGAAAACGGCCCGTGACCACAAAAAAAAAGAGTGAGCGCGGCTCACACCGGCCAGTTCTCGACCGGCGGTTTCCGGGTGAAAAGAAAGCGAATTTCGAGCCGCAAATGCTGTTCTGGGTAGTTGGGCTCTCATATGTCACGTACAACTCAAAACCTCAGCGAGCATAAATACCCTGTCAGTGTCCCTTTAAAGAGGCGGCGGTGTTCGATGAGGCCGTCAAGGGTGGAGACGAGGCGAGAAGGTCACGCTCAAAGAGGTTGAAATAAAGCTAAAGCTAAATACGCTTTCACGCACGATGAAAATGGGAGAAACAGAAGTAGAAACACGTCTGCCCTCTGCGCCGGCACCTAGCTTTGACGAAAAAAAGTTTTGAGTTCTTGTTTTATGTTGTCGCGTCTAACGTAGGGCCCAGCCTCCGCACATGGTCGAGCCGGCTGTAGTGTTCACACAATAGGGTAATTGTTTTCGCGAAATATATTTGTATCTCTGTAAATACTTCTTAGTTACTTAAAAAAAGAAAGACATTTAAGTTATCGTTACAGTTACCTTAAAAAATGTATCGAGTTACAGTTAAAAGTTAAGAAAGTAACAAGTTACAGTATCGCGATACTATCTAAGACTGGACGCCCCCACAGAAAAAGACGTGCCGCTTCTTGGATTTTTTTACCGCTATTCGAAGCTCCGGCATTAATCCCTAACGTTCCAAAGGATTTTTACAATTGCTCATATTTGTGTAACGGCTTCGTTTTTTCTTTTTTTTTAAATCAATTTTAGGATTAGCTTACGTTTCATCCATTTGCACCGCCACCCGCATCGCCATTGTTGAAGATACCCCAGGAGATTACAGGATGATCGACATCGGAACGCACGAACTGGGACACTCGTAAGTTGACTTCAACGGTGTCTCTCAAACGGGATCCGCCGACACTTCAACCGCTCGAAGCGTGAAACCCTGCAACAAAAGAAACATGTTTTTTTCCTGGCTTGTGGGGGACATTTTGGTTGCGAACAGCTGTAGCATTTCCTTGACGTTTGACGATCAACACTCGTGTGAACACGCTTTCTCTTTACTTCAAAAGCATAACACCACAATTAAAAATAAAATGTAACACCGCTTCGCGGACACACAAGAAGTTTAGGGAAGTATTCAGTAATCTCCTCCCTTCTAACGTTTTAAACAAGGAATCTAGAGCGTTTTTCGCAAAGCAGTTGGGGGAGGCAATTGCTGCAGTCTGCGGAGCGCGGTTTACCAACTGCTTTGTCAGAAACACTTCAGATTTCTTAGAACGTACTCGCCTGTTTATCATGCATAGTACACATAGGCATAAAATTACACTCGTTTAGACCGGTGCCCTAACTGAAGGCTACTTTGAAAACAAACTTCGAAAGCTTTTTCTTTAGCGGCGTTCACAGCGGGATTGATGGAGAAAATAAAACCAGGTTTTTCGTCCCTCAGAAATAAAATACGCATTGCAGAGAGCTGAAATTCTGTCAAATAATGCCGCTAGCGGGGAGGTTAGGGTGCAAAAGTTTGAGAATAGGACGTTCCCTGGATCTTGAGATAAAAGTGAAAGACAACATCTATCTATGAGACGACGTTTACCTAAACCTAATTTCGTAAAAAAGAGAAATGTCGTTTGCTCCAGGGCATTAAGGGTTCAAAGGTTTTTATTGGCTGTGTAGAGAAAGACAGACGAAAAGCGACTACGTCTGACGCATTCCAAAATCGAACTGATCTCCTCGTTTTTATTTGCACGCGATCTTCTTCTTCTTTTCTCAGTGGCTATCGCCACATGGCCCCCCTTTGGAGACGGAGTCGTCCCAGTGAACTGTCCTGGAGTGTTTGATGCGGGTCGCGGGTGCTACTGTTGAGCTCGAGGTGGCTTGCACGCTGGAAAGATCAGTCGGCTGAGCGATCGTATCGCTCTCAACAAGTGCTGGCTTGAGGCGGTCAACGGACACGACCGTGTCGCGGCCATTAACTCGCAGCGTGAATGTTTTTTCGCCACGTGCCACGACGAGGTGGGGACCAGTGTAAGGTTGCTGGAGCGAACGGCGGACGCTGTCGACGCGCAAAAACACGTAACCACTGTTGTGCAGGTCGCGATGGAAGAAAGGAGGCTTGCTCTGGCGTGTCCGCGTCGGTGTAGCGCGCACGTCACCGAACAGACGGGCTAAGTCCTCCACGTAAGGCAATCCTGCAGTCATCGTAGGGCTGCCGTGGATCGGAGTAGTAGGGCTGACCAATTCAGCTGGGAGGCGCAGCGATGCTCCATAAACTAGATGTGATGCGGCACATCGGAGGTCTTCCTTTATGGCTGTGCGCAACCCTAGGAGGACGATGGGTAGAGACGTGGCCCATTTATCTGGTGTGGAGTGGGCCATGAGGGAGGCCTTGAGATGGCGATGGAACCGCTCAACCAAACCATTTGCCTGCGTGTGGTAGGCTGTGGTCTTCAAGTGAGCGATGCCAAGAATAGTTGTCAAGCTTCGGAAAAGGGCCGATTCGAATTGGCGTCCGCGATCGGTCACGATTTCGGCGGGAACCCCAAAGCGGGAGATCCAGGTGGACAGAAGCGCAGAGGCGACAGTCTCGGCAGTGATGTCTTTGATGGGACAAGCCTCCGGCCAGCGCGTGAACCTGTCGATGACGGTTAGGAGGTACTGGTAGCCCTGCGATGACGGTAGGGGTCCGATGAGGTCCACGTGAATGTTGGCAAAGCGCGTGTCGGGGAGTGCAAACTTTGCCAGAGGCGTGATGGTGTGCCGGGACACCTTACTCTGCTGCCAAGCAATGCATGCTCGTGCCCACGCGCGGACATCAGTGTTCATCCCAGGCCAGACAAATCGTTCCGCGATTAGATTTTGAGAAGCGCGGATGCCTGGGTGTGAGAGTGCATGAAGGTTGTTGAAGATCCGACGCCGAAGTGGTAAGGGCAGATAAGGCCGTTTCCGTCCGGTCGCCGGGTCGACGTCGCAAACGATGTTTGTGTCCAAGTCGGAGAAGTAAACGTCCTCAAGATGAAGAGAGGAGGTTGGGGAAGAGCGAAGGTTGCGGAGCTCTTCGTCACTCTCCTGTAGAGCAGGGAGTTGTCTAAGGTCACACCCGCGGTACTGAACTGCGGAGACGCGGCTGAGGGTGTCGGCGGGGATGTTGTGGACGCCCTTGATATGCTGAATGTCGGTAGAAAATTCAGCTAGGAACGCCAAGTGTCGCGTCTCTCTCGGAGAGTATGTGGCCTTAGATGATCTGAAGGCATTGGTTAGTGGCTTGTGATCTGTAAAGATCACAAACGATCGTCCTTCCAGGAAGAATCTGAAGTGCTTGATGGTAAGGTAAGCCGCGAGGAGTTCACGGCCGAAGGCACTATATCGTTGCTCGGTTGGTGTAAGTTTCTTGGAGAAGAAACCAAGCGGGAGCCACTCGTTCTTGATGCGTTGTTGCAGCACCCCTCCTACTGCGTATCCAGAAGCATCAACCATCACGCTCGTGGGGGCGTCGTGCTCTGGATGAACTAAGAGGTTAGCAGAAGCGAGACGCTCCTTGATGGTAGTGAAAGCGTTGTCTGCAGCGTCAGACCAGTCAACAGTGGCTTTTGTACCCTTCGTAGTTTGAAGGAGCGCTTCTAGGGGAAGCAATATTGCCGCGCAACCTGGGATGAACCGCCTGTAGTAATTCACCAGGCCCAGAAAACGGCGGAGCTGGCGGAGCGATTCTGGACGTGGGAAATCGGTGATCGCTTTCACCTTGTCGGGAAGAGGTCGGATGCCATTGGAGTCTACCACGTGGCCCAGGAATTCCAAGGACGGGACGCCGAACGCACATTTTTCTGCGTTGATGATCAGGCCATGTTCAGCGAAACGCTCGAATACTAGGCGCAGGTGGCGTAGATGTTCCTCCGGCGACGAGCTGGCGACAAGAACGTCATCGACGTAGGCGAAAACGAAAGGTAGTCCGCGGAGAATGGCGTTCTTGTCGCAAATTTTCCTCTGGTCAAAGTAGTCGGCTTCACCCCGGCACCAAGCCAAACGGGAGACAGGGTGGTGACTTTGAGCCAGAGCCACGCGTGAGGGAGTTTCAAGTTTCTTCTGTCCCGCCTGTTTCCAACTGTCAGTTAGTTTACGTCATTCAATTCTTCCTAGATAATTTCCACCAGTTTTCCGATCTCCTTTTTGTTATTAAAATGCATTTATCACTCAATCTTAACTGCAAACCCCAGCGCTGCGGCTAAATCTGTCGCTCCCTCCAGGAGGGCGGCAGCAAGCCCTCTGCACCTCAACACTACATGTTCTACTGTCTCGTCTCCCCCTTGGCATACGGAACACCGCTTATCTATTTCCTCATATTTTGCCCTTCATGCCCGAGTCTTCGATACTCCCGTTCTAGCCTCGAATAGCAACGAGCTTTCCCGTGAATTATCATACTAATGTTCTTTATTTATTTCCCGTTTTCATTCCCTTATACATAATTTAATCTGAGTTTCTTTGCATTCCTTCCTCCCACAACTTTCTCTCAGGGTGTGAGACATTTACTAAGCTATGAAGAGATTAGCCTACTGGTGATTCCCTATAACGGCATTACGTGGATTACGGGATTTATACCCGTAGAGCAAACTTGTCGAAGATAATATTTTTTTTTTCTGACCCCACACATTGAATGAAATACGCAAGGAGTTTCAGCTTTCTTCGATGCGTATTTCATTCATACGGGCCGAAAAACCGGATTTCATTTTCTTGATCAAACGTGATAGCTTAAATTTAATATGTAGTCACAATGTTTTGACGAGTCACAAATTAGACGATTTGAGAAACGCGTATAGTTTTACCCGCAACACGTATTGGACGTTGTAAAACTGAGAAAAACCAGTTACACGTTGTATCTAAAATCTGAAACTGCCTCTTTACCCCTGAAAACTTTCAGGTGCGGCAGTGAGCACGATGGAGATCGACGGAGGAACAATTTTTGCGACCCTTATGCAGGGTGGATTATGAGCCCTGTCGGACGCGGTGGACGTAACAACGAATTTTCAGAGTGCTCAAAAAAGCGGATTCGTCAGTTTATGAGGTGAGTAGCAGTCGATAATTATATACATGGATATAATTGCTGCATTAGCCAAGAAGAAAGGCAAAGGACGAAGAAGCAGGATGCTTGGACATAATCATTCACACCTCTCGTTTCTTAAACTGTCGAGCCGATGAAACCAAATAAAGCGGCACCAAACGCGCAACGTCACGACTCGCGTCGTCTTTCATGGCGTATGTTATCAACGTTTTAATCGATCAAAAGCAGGCGGTGCGGCGTGACCCTGTGCTTTCACTCTGTGCTTTTGTGTGTGTGTGTGTGTGCTTTCCACTCTGACTCCACTTGGACTGGAACTAACCGGTGTCTTAGGCGTTTTCTCGGTGTCTTACGAAAGACTGTTCAGATTTTCGCGTCAAAACTGCAATTCAAAGCTGCGGTTACACGGATAAAATTTATAGTACTGGATTGAGCAGGGCCTCAACATATCACACGCACTTAATCTTCATCTCTCTTTGTATTGCTGTTTTTTTTTCTGCTCAATCATAGTCGTTCCCACTTTGTGTAAGAGGCTACTTTGGTGTTCATGAAAACGACAGCTTTGAAAGAGAGAGAAAAAAAATGCTACCGGGCCACCCATTCCTGCAGTTAACCAAAATATGGCAGCGAAAGAAGAAGTTAAGAAATTAATATACGATTATACTTGGAAAATGCGTGCGCAAATACAATGAGTATGGGATTCTTCTGGTCTATAAATAGTTTGAGCTGCTGCCCATCAGCAGAGACCCTATATCTTTTGGAAATGATTGGCTGCATGCGTGTGATGCAGAAAGGTGAACGCACTGTCTTTATTTTCTTGGTTTTTAGAGCACAAAAATTATTTTTAGAGGGACCAGAATAAAAAAAAAAGGTAATCCTGCGTTAGAATATTGTCAGCCCCAAGGCAAAGCTAGGGGGACATTGGGGTCACTGAATAACTTAAGGTGGGTTAATTATATTTAGGTAATTATCTAACAAACTTCATTAACTTTTTGGAGGAATTTAATATATTTTGTGAGTCAACACTCGACCGGATAATAATTTAGCCGCGACGTAAAAGTTTGATAACAAAATTTAAGGTGAGTTCTACGGTGCGAGAAATGTAATTTTTCCAAGGCTTTCTCAAAGAACTTCCAACGTGAGGTTTACAACGATTTCCGGGAAAGTGAGCACAGCTGCTTGAAATATTCAATTAAAACAATTGACTATTCGTAAATATTTTAGTACTCTCATTCACGTTGGTTACAACCCAAAGCAAAAAAAGAAATGTTAAAAAAATAATTGAATAAAATAAATATCTTTATTTAAGGCAGATAAATTTATTTTAAATTAGTGTAGTTAGAAAATACTGATTCTTTACTACAAGATGAATTTCTCAGCATGACAGATTGGTTGATCGATTCGTCGGATCATTGATAACAATGCGGAAGATTAACAACTTTTCTTTTTTTGAAATCCTCGCCATATTGCTTGATTTTTTGCGATCTGATTTTGTTGCAGTAGGATGTTACGTAGCTGGCGAGCGAATGGGATTGTTGACATCAAGCTCGACGAACGCTTCGATTTGCTCTGAAGAGCACTTCTTTTTGCTCCTGTTGAACCCCATACAGTATTTTGTTCTTGCTTGATGGTTTCTCGATATAAATGCTGAACAAATGCCCCCCCCCCCTCCCCCCATAGAAAGCATAAAATATTAAACAAATTTTATATAACAATATTGTAGGGGATATTTTTGGGGGAATATTCGATTTAAATCATCATATTTGAACTGGTCGGGTTCACAACACGATTTAAATTATATTGATTTTTATTATCCCCCCCCCCCCCCCCCCCCCGGTAGAACCTTGACTGCAAGCTGCGTTCTTGTGTCATCATCAGTCAATCGCCTTGCAAACGTCACGCACCTTCCAGGAACCGGGATGGGCACGTCGTCGTTATGTAAGGCGCGTTATCCTTATGGAGACAACCGTGACACGGTAAGAGCATACAGAAAACAAACAGAAGCTTTGATTATGCCGATTTTTATAATTAAGTTAACTAATAAATGTTAAGGTTGCCATGATCTAAAACTGAATTCGAATTTGCATGGTCAGTTCGACTGATACCATTAATCAATCGTTGACTGAATTACTTTTGTTCAGATCGGTTTCTTTTTTTTTTCATCGTTACAAAGTATATGGGTTATGCATATCATGCCCATTAATACGCTTAACATGGAGCTCGACGAATGACAAGGCTAAAATTATGTTTATACCTAAAAACTAAATTTGCGCAGTGGCACTGAGCATAACGTTTCATCGTGCTCAGTGCCGCAGCGCAGACGTTTTATTTTGAGACCTAACCATATTTGCAGTTTCGCCACTCGCCGAGCTGCCTCCGCAGATTGAAAAGATTGACTCTCTCCGGTTTTTTACGGGAAAGCAGGCATCCTAGATTTCTTAGAGTTAATGTGCCCCTCCCAGAAATGCGCTTACGGGGCCAACTACCTCGCTATTCCTTGGGACCAATCGGAGTCCTTTGTGGATGGAAGTCGTCTGTTTCGTGCGCAGGAATTCCGGTGACGTCAGAACTATGCCGAGCTCTGATTGGTTTTGATTGAAAGGATAGTGGGTAGACCTCAATACTAGATGCCTTGAGGTCAAACTACTATATTTTTCAACCAGCCAAAAAAAAGCTCGGCGTTCGGACATCATCGCAACCCCTATGCGAGAAGCTGACCAACTTGCGCTCCGCATAGTTACTGACATCCCAAGAAACGCAGGGCGTTACGAGCCCTTCTCATCTTATTACTGCTCCGTAGCCAATCAGATTGCAGAGTCAGTCGATAAGAACACCGAAGAACGAATCACGAAGCAAGAAGCCGAAACAAAGTGAACCACACCCTGCGGTTTTTATGTTGTCAGTGACTGTAGTTACATAGTTAAAGGTATTAAGCGCGAAACACATATACGACGTCCGAGTCCGACCACGGAATACGATGGTCGGAGGCGATGGTTTTCAACGCTCTCCGATGCTACGAAAACCCTCTCCCCCCAAGGTCATTCCGGCAGTCCGCACGTCGGATCGGACGGTTTCGTCGTACATGTGTTTCGCGCTTTAGGTCACGCCAAAAATAAAAGTATGAGATAACTTTACTGATATAGGATTCACTGAATGTTCCTACACTTTTTTAAAATTTGTTTTGTACATGGCACAATGGTTTCGTGGATAAAACTATTTCTATGCGGGACTCTCGGATCCAGCCCACTCAGGAAAGCCGCCATGTTATGTGGGCTGGTGATGTCATTCGCTCACCGCGCGGCGTCCTCTTGCACGTTCTCGCAGACTTGGCACTGTCGGCGTATCGCTATTCAGCTTCCTCCTTTACCTTTCCGCGTTGAGCACGCGGATTGTGACGACTAAGTCTACGGAATCGCTCGCTTCGACGACGTCTTCGACACTTATCGCTGCAGCGATGAGAGTGAATGTCATCCGAAGATGTTGGAAGCTGGTCGTTTTGTCTTCAACCCGCTAGCAACCGGCTCAGCGACGACAACCAGATCGTCGCAGACGAATTCGCCGTCGTCCGGGACGATCTCGCACGTGCATGCCAGGTGTAAGGTCAAAGGTCAAGGGGGCGAAATTCTGAATAGCGTTGGCATAGCCGAGTAGCGTGCGAGGGTGCGATCGTACCGCGGCGAGGCGAACTTGGGCGAGCATGGGGGCGCCTAGAACGAGAGCGTTCAACTACACGTCAAGATCGCGTGGTTTGTGACCACCGGGTTGTGACTAACTTGGACAGGGTTGCCTGGTCGCCAGATAAAAATGACCGACATTATAAATTGGCAATTGCAATTACTAGAGCTCTAACAATCGCGAAACTTGGTGTATATACTAAGTAGCCTATGAGCATTTCATTTCAGGCATAATCTACGCGTTTCATTTTCGTGTCCTAACTTCTTTAATGGGAGTGAAATGTTTTTCTTTAGGCGTCTTTTATGCAGTTCATGTTATCCCACCTGCGAATGATCGGATGTTAACATAATCTTGGTATCTTTTTTTGCAATAAGGCAATATGGCTTCGTTATCACAGCGATTTAGACGCTCCAACATAAATGCCTCGTTCTTTAGCAGGACGAAAAACATTATCCAGACTGTAAAGCATCTTGCCTAAATAATTACCAACATCCGGTTCAGGAAACCCTACTCGATGGAATGCAGTGTTCAGAAACGAAGGTAAGCATTTGGATTAATATTACATTTCTAAGAAACAAGCTTCTTACCCCTGAAAAAAGACACATGGCGGTCGTTTATCTCTTCTGCTATAAACGGTGTTCTTTTTTGTGCTTTTCAGAGGGCTCAGAATTTATAAAAAGGGAACTTCCATCAGATTCTTTTTCTTTTAGCCCTGGCTTGGGGACTGGATACGACTCAAAAAGAGGCGATATTGGTTAATCATTTAGCTAATAAACTAAAATATTTCAAATGAACAAAAATAATTTTGGGGCTGAATGTAGTGGCAGAATCGACGCTCGATCTCATGATAGGCTAGCCGTGACGCGATTTGTTAATTGATCAATTCGCAGTGGGCACTACGGAGTGAGAAATGACTCCGTTCACGGCTTCAAAAGCGAAACTAACGTGACGTCGGTCCTTCCGTCCTGCGCCGGCTCAGCCATCCGTGTCCGCGCCACAGGTGCCGGGATCAGTACGACACAAGTGCAGAGCAGAGGGATCGACGGCTCGAGCAGTGATTTCCCTGCACCCCCCCCCCCCCCCCTTCACAGGGGTGTACTCCCCCTATTCTTTTTCCGAAGGCACCCCCCTTAAATCACAACGACTCCTCTGTTCTCATTGCCCCCCCCCCCCCCCCCCCCCCCTCCAATTCCAATTCCTGGGGAAACCCCTGGTCCCGAGCGCGTTTCGCCGGTTAGTTTCGTGTTTGAAGACGTCTACAAAGTCTCGCCCTGTCGCTCCCACTGCAAAATTTAAAGAAAAAAATTCATGTCACGGCAGGCCGTGACGTGAATGTGCTAAAAGAGGGGGGGGGGGGGGGGGGGAAGGGGGGCTGCAGGGCAGCTGACGCTAAGGTGCGCTTTGATACGATACCGAAACTACAAGCGCGGTCAACATGAACGTTTTGTCGGAACGCTGCAAAATGCTCTACGTGCCTCTTGTTGTTTTGTAAAACGAGGTGATTTTACTGGTTTTCAATGGTGTTCACCAATTTCCTAATTAAAACCATACGTTTATTTTCACTAATTGAGAGGTTAATTCGTAAGTTGTAGATAGATATTTAGCTAATTAGACATTTTTGTAACCCCTCACGTCCGTCGCAACTGGCCGTTTCTTCCCGAAAAGAACATATTTATCTCTTTTCCACACTACTGTGGTGCGATAAATTGCTCAAAAAAACGTCCCTCCTCGTTGGTGCCTTCGAATAAAAGATGGCGCCGTATAGCCGAGAAAGAGGCCGGGAGGGAAGAAGAGAGGCGCCGGCCAATCACGGCGTCATATGAGAGCGCGTGATATCGTGATTGGCCAATAATAACCAAAATCACTGAAAAAAAACAAAAAAACAGCGTTGTCTTGCTTGGTGGTGTAGCATGGGAAAGAGACAGACTCTGTGTGAGGGAGAATAGCGTTCCCTTTCTATTTACAGGAGCTTCAAAGCGCCATCATCAGATCGTGCTTGTGGACGAGTGGATAAACGTGCGATAGCATCTGTGGCTTGTTTTTCTGTACACTCTTAGTTAGATCCTGGCTAAAATGCACGCATATAAGCAGGAAAGCGGGTCAAAATTTCGCCGCTTACAAGCAGTTGGTTTAGGTGTCTCAACTTATGCGGCCCGTTGTTATGAGGCCCAGATTTAAGCGGCCCGTTCTCACGCGGATCAGGTATGCGGCCTGAATTTACCAGGACCTTTGTCGTGCGTGACAATTTCATGCGGTATTTGAGATCAAAATTTTCCTGGCTATAAGCGGCCTACGATTATGCGGCCTAAAATTTAAACTGCGGCAAAATTGTGCTACAACGCCATTTTTGCGCCATTCTCCGCATACTTGGGTGCATAGACAGCCGGCATGATACTCCGACTAGTTGTTTCTGGATCTGGAACACAAGTTTCAGCAACACAACATACGTCACATGAGGGGAATCGAACCCGCGCCCGCGAAGTGAAAATCAGACACCATAGCCACTACGCCACAACCGTACACATACAATGCTCGCGTTGTCGTATGCTTATATACACAAGAATTGCTTGCTAAACTCGTCGACCGATGGGGGAATTGTATACATTGGTTTGATAAGTGCTTATCAATGGGAGAAATCTTGCACGAGTGGTGTTGCGAAAAAGCATTATAAGAGTAACCAGACATTGAAAGAGTGACAAAAGCATAGTCTTGCAAAATATAAACCGTTTTCTGGCACGCTAGAAGAAACAACCGCGGAATCGGAACGTAACCCAACGCACAAACCACCTTCTTCTGCGGGCTATTCGGATAACTGTAGATATATAATTGGTTATGCACGGGCGCCCTTCCCTTGGCGAGCGACACAAGGACGTTTTCGTCGTATACCTTTGTTGCTGCTCCAGAAACGTATATGGTATATTCCCAACCTTCAAAATGTGAGCTTATTAAATACCCGAGTGTAACATGCTATAGAGCCAAATAACTAGCGCCCTTAAGTATGCGGTGTCTAACGCCTGTAGCGTTAGGCACATGCAGGATTATCGGGAACGTGATTTTTCAATTTCTGCTAACAGCATCAATGAGTTTCATTAAAAAGTGTCAGGAATTGTGCATTACACTCTAAAAAAAGCCCGTGCTTCTACTTTCCCGCACAACACTGGGAGAGCCAATCAACTTACGGAGGCAGCTCAGCGAGTGACAATGCCGAAACGTATGTTTACACCAAAGAAGGCAGTTCGAGTTGTGACATTAAGCAATGCAAGCGTGACGTTTCGCATTGCTTAATGTCACAACTCAGACTGCGTTTTTTTTTGGTCTAAACCTATGTTTTGGCATTGTCACTCGGTGAGCAGCCTCCGTAAGTTGTGGTGATTGGCTCTCCGAGGTGTTGTGCGTGAAAGTAGACGCACAAACTTTTTTTAGAGTGTATTAGCTTCCCTTACACAAAAAAGAAAGAACAGCTGATTTCAAGACAAAATTTTTTCCTCTAAGCGGCACGCCAATCATATTCAATTTTTCTTTCAAGCGCAATAAAGTATTTGCTGAATTGAAGCTCTGGTTTGGGCTAATTGGTTCATTAAAATCTAAAAAAATTAAAAAGGGCAAAAAAAAAGTAAGGTCGAGACACGCACAACACGGACTGGCACTAACTTTCAACTGATTTAATAAAGTCAGTCAAACCCAGCGCGCATCTGTGAAGTCTTGTCTATCACGCCAACCTTTCGTGATAAAAGCATCCCATACACAATAGACTATCGCGCTGGGTTTGACAGGCTTGATTAAATCCGTTGAAAGTTAGCACCAGTTCGTGGTGTATGTCTCTTCTTCGTCATTTTTTTTTTTTTTTTGCTTTTACGTTGCTTAGAGCAATAAAGTATTAAGTAATTGTTAGCACAGCCCACACAGTGTGTTGAAGGGTGTATAATCCATTTATTGAAATTCAAACGAACGTACACATTAAGAACTCACATTACTAATCCATTTATTGAAATTCAAACGAACGTACACATTAAGAACTCACATTACTACCACACTAAGCCCTTTTTTCGTTGTACGAAGCATGGAATAGCTGTACCCAAGCACTTTTCAACAAAGAATACAGCGAGATCAAGATTCTGCATTCCTAAGAATATTTATTACTGTTAAACAAAGTACTGATTCCTCTTTTTACTGAAATAAATGTGACCGAGTTTAGGTAAGTTATGCAAGTCACACAAACTGTATTACAGTATTAACTAAAAAAAAAGAGACCAGGAGCTGCTGTATTCAGTTCCTTACTGGAAAATATCACAGCATCACTATCTGCGTCTTGCGCTAACGTTCAGCAATCCGAACACATCTACTTGTGCCCATTACTGTATAATAAATACCAACATTGCAACATGTTATCATATACCACTGGGATCCGCAAAGAATGGCACAAACATACTTTGATTTGTACGTCATCAGGCTGTTACATTAATCATGCATTTGCAAAAAAGGTACTCTTTTTTATGCGCTTGCGTTGTAAAATGAACGAGTACTTTTTTACGTTAAAGCCAGGGATATTCTTCCTCTGTGAAATAACACCTGCAGTGACTTTGCCGCAGTAAACATACGTACATTTACGTAACCTTCATGTTCTCGAGAATCTTTACGAGCTTGCTGTTAGCCCAGCAGCGGGAAATTTTTCACCATTGCTTATCGCACTTTGCACGAGCCCCAACGTTTGCGCAAATGCCGAGGGGTATGTTATGTCCTTGACATAATACACCGTTAGGCAAAGGAGTAGAGCCTTCTCCAAAGTAGCGTCATTTAGCTTGATGATTTCGCCAGGCCCTCCACAAGAGACGATTTTTGTCGATATGCCCCAGAAGATCCTTGGGCCAGGAGATGCTGTGTCCTCAGCGGAGACGTCGCTCTGAAAAGGTGTTTTCTTTTTCAGAAAAAACGCTACACATTATACATATATAACATTGTACAACACTTTCCCCGGACACCTATTTAGGTTTCACTGGTACGCCTGTACAATGGTATTGTAGTGCAGTTCCAAAAAAATTAACTTAAGCTGTCTGTGCCCTTGGCCTGTCTAGCTAGTTCCCAGTGCTAAGATGGTGAAAGCATCCAAAAACCAAGGAATTTGCAGAAAAAATTCACAGCTGCTTTATACAAATCAAGTGGAACCTTTTAAACTACATAAATAATAGCCAATGACAACAAATGTCTTTTGATTTGTTTGCACAAATATCTCGCTCACCAACCAGCTTACCAATGTTCCAATTGCTATCCCTAGCAGTGTTAATCATTTTTTATGCTTAACTAATGTGTGCACTGTGCCAATGCTGTTTATGAATTTATGTACATACATGATTTCGTTGTTCAACAGCTGAAGTTAACAGTACAATCAAGGGAATCCTGCCCGTGTCATCAAGGCGACAGTTGTTGCCTTAATGACTTTTTAACCACGTGAACAGGAAGTTGATTCAATTATTGCAAAACAACCGTGTTAACCACAACATATGCATGTTGGTACTCACCAAGCAGAATTTCAGCAGCAGTGCAGGTGCTGTTGTTCGTGACCTCAGGGGTACTGATGCTGGCACCTTGCGAAGTAGACCCTTGCATGTTGTCAGACAAATCGCATGGCTCGCCTTCAAATATACGTGCAAACAGAGCGAATAATCAAGTTGCATGAAGCCAGAAATGTCATTGTTGATGTCGTATAGTCATAAATACTGTCAATGTCTACAATTATGCTGTCCTCACGTGGTCTTTTTATCTATATGGCAGCAAAAATGACACTTCATTACTTCAATATATGGAACTGGTATGAATCTGGCATCACACGAGGACATCAAATGTTTTTACTGGCACTATTAGCTTCCTGGTCAGCAGCTGGCATTAAACATTTGGTTAAATTTCCAAGCCCACAGTATTATCTAAAAGGCACAAATGAATCGGTGCTCTAGCACCATCTTTGCTTCCCTTTAGCAGAAAGAGCTGTAGAAATAAACAAGGCTGTAAATTGTCTGGGGTTATACAAAGTCACTCGTGGAATGTTTTCTCCACTTTTAGTTTAAAAAGCTGTGAAACAAGCTTGACATTGACGGCCAAGTGTAAAATCATCACAATACCTTCCCTCAGAAGAAAAAAATTATGCAACCCAGAAAGAGAAAAACAAGACGTAAGGACTTCTAAATAACTTAACATTTTTTTTTTTTGGGGGGGGGGGGGGGGGTGCAACAAGCACATAGTACCTGTATGTGCTGGGTGGCTATGTTTTTTTGTTGTAATGTCATTTTATGCAGCACTCGATGCCGACAAGACAGTCAAACATAAAAATACACGTAAAAACGGGTAGCAATTCTTTGGGCCGCCGCCGCCACCGCCATCACCATCCTCAACCCCCCCCCCCTATGTTGCTCTACCAGGCGCGGGGAACCATATCAATATCACATGAGCGAATGACATTTTAGCGGACAGCGACATCGGAGCGAATCGACGTTTTAGCGAATAACGGGGGCGCGCGTTAACCCATCCGCCGCGCTGCGCTTTACGCCGCTTCGCGGCGACAGTCTGCTGCGGCTCATTACAAAAATGTGAACCCATTTGGCTCACCCGAAAACGCCACTTCGCGGCGTCCGACTGTTCTCTAAAGTGTCATTCGGTGAAACGTAGGCGTTCGCTAAGACGTCATTCGATCAACATTCGATCAAGTGAGTGCCTCCCCCTACGTGAAACTAAAACTAAAGTGCAATAACGGCATACGTCCCGGTAGCGTCCCACGGAACAACGCAACGTTAATAGGGAGTTTTCGTAGACCGTGTTTCCCGCTCCGCTAGCCCTCCGCTACGAAGAAACCGCCACTGCGCCTGCGCGCCGATGGCCTTGGCTGTAGAGTTCCGGGTAGCGGAGGGGCTTAGCGGAGCGGGAAACACGGTCTACTAAAACTCGCTATTACCACGGACAAGTGCATACCGAAGCGGTCGGGTACTCAACGGCGTTCCGAACACGCGTGCCCCTCGACTGACACACACACACACACGCACAAAAACATGAAATAAAAGCGGCACTTACTAATCCGTGCGTGCTGTACAGGGCTGTGGCCGCAGTAAACGCACCACGTCGCTTGGTGAGGAGCCGCAGGTTGACTGCAGTTGTCGAGGGCCATGCTGTAACCATCGCACTCGCAGTTGCTTGCGTGGCATTGACCTCGCAACACACCTTTGATGTCTTGCGATGAATACATCACCGCCGTAGATTTCAAACCAACTTTCCTTTTTCAACAGTGCGGCTTGCGCGAAAAAGAGAACGCGACGACGACAATGCAATTTCGCGCGACTACCGGCCAAGCTGCGCCTTTTGCGCGGGCTGAGCATGCGCGGTAGGACTCGCAAAAAATTTCTTGTTTTTGTTTTCAACTTTTCAGAGAGAGAGAGAGAGAAAGGGATTTGAGAGAGGGAATGGGGCTCGAACCCTTTCTCTTTCTCAAGTGTGCGCCGTGCGCCCCGCCGCAGACAGCGGTGAGGGGAGACGCGGAGACACGCGGCTTTTACGGGCTTTTGTGCTTCATTCGCGCTTTCTTTTCTTTAAGCGGGACGGTGCGCTTCGGCGGCTGTCAAGTGAGCCGCATAAAGACGTTCGGGCGGGTTAGGGCCGTTTACAGGTGGTACTTCGAACTTTTTGGGCCGCTTCCAGAGGCGTCACGGATAGTTTTCTTCACAGGGCTGCTTATATCCCGTGTCTTAGGCGGGACATTGAGGAGTACCGCTTGTACCCAGGCCATTATCCAGGACGTAGATAAGAGTGTAGCTTTAATTGGTGCTCAAGATGCCCGAGCGCGCGCAATCCCGTACATCTGACTGCAATGCCGCAGGAATGTTTTCTTCTTTTTTTTTTCTGCATTACACCGCAATTTGATTTCCACATGCCTCGATCATCAAACATATTTTCAATGCGCGATCTTGGATCCTTCGCATTTACCTAAATTATAGTCGGCGTCACAGTGGCCCCATCTATTGGCTTTGTAGTTTGCTCACGTTGCTGCGCTGCCTCTTCGTTGAGAGTGCTAACGACCAGCGTCTATATGTTACGTGACTGCAGCACGTAATTATGAATAAAGCACGAAGTAAAATAAAAAATCCACATATGTTACGAAAGAGAATTCAAATGGATAACTTTTTAGGCTAGAACGAAACGTGTGGGGAACACGTCTTTACACTCATCCACGACAGCGAATCGGCAGCGGGAAGATAATTCATTCAAATATAATCCCTCGGATTTACCGGCGTCTAAACTTCGTTTCAGCTTAAGCTCAGACGCAGCCGGTGCTACGATGTAATGGTACCGGTGAAGCAGCGTCATAAGCGCAAGTCACTGAACCCTTTTTGTTTATGATTGGTTCAGAAATGATAGAACACATACATTGATCACAACGGATACCATGATGGTGTGCTTTCGACGCTGTCTGATTTGTCCCATCAGCTCGTAGCGTCGGCTGCGTTTGAATTTAAGGTGTATAGTTTACTTTGCGACCAGCTAAAAAAAAAACTTGCCTGAATTTATGTGGTTTGCCGAGTTTGCGAATAACTATTGTTTAACTTAGTTGTATTTTCTTTCTCTTCAAGCGATACTGGAAACGACGTCGGTTGTTGACGATCTAATAGTAGTCCATGTTGTAGTTGTAGTAGTAGTAGTTGTCGATTAAATAGCTGGTGATGTAGGACGTCCGTCGCCGATGTTGACAAGTCCTCGAAAAAGATCGCCCGACCCCCCGCAGGAATCGAATCCGGGTCCGCTGCGTACGGGGCAAAGGCGTTACCACTGAGCTACGTTACTTTTTTAATTTATTGCTGACCTACGTTATTTCTTTTTTTATTTATTGTCACTGAGCTACGTTACAGCGGCAATTGCTCTAAATTTAGGGTTTTTGTAGTACCATAGCCTCCTCTATATTTACAAAGCCTGGCAGTTCGATGACGGAGCCAAAAAGTGCCCTGTCCCAGATTTGGAGCTCGAGGATCTGGCTAGCGCAGAGCGTTTCTCGGGAGTCCGGTATTCAGCGCACAGCTTTTGCAGCGGCGAGGACCCGAAACATGGTTTTCAACCCCGACGAGAAAAGAAGCGGCAGTCAAAGGAGCTCGAGAAGCACGAGCAGACATTCCATCGCTCGGGACAAGTGTGTTTTGGCGTCTCGCCGCAGCGGGGCGCCCGTTGCATGACTCTTGTCTGCCGCTCTACCTTTTCGCTTTCGGCGGCCGCGTCACGTGATGATCTACCACGCTTTGTGTCAGTATAAAGGAGGTATGGTAGTCCCCAGTGCCCACGTTGGACGCGTTTTGTGGAAAGAAAAAAAGATGGCCTGTAACAAAATGCCACAGTAGCACTGTCACGGCCAACAGCTCATGTCGGAAGACGCGCTTTCACGCGCTAAGGAACAAAGAAGAAACAAAAGCGTTCGAAACAAAGCAGATGTCTGTTTTGTTCCGAACGCTTTTGTTCACGCCCTCCACGGTGCGTGAACCCGACGCCGATGCCCAACGACTTGCATGTAAAGTGTTGCAGCTATAGCTGTGACTGTGTTGAATCAACAGAGGACTGCTCAATTTTCTTATTCTGCTCATTGTCCAGGATACACTTTGATGGCGTACGTGCGGTTTTTGTAACGGTAATTATGTCGGACCTTCCATAATTTATCTTCGGACGTTTTCAACTCATGCATGTATGATCTTTCTTTTCAGATATGTCTCAAAGGCGAGTGCAAAAATAAACCGGAGGACTTATTCCCGGTTACTAAGAAAACTGTGACTAAAAACAAAACCCAACGGGGAAAAAAGTAAAGCATCGATATATATTATTCGATTTGATGTCAGCCATTTTTCGGACGTAACATATGGTACGAATAAACAGCATCAAAATGACTAGTCTGCTATTATCTCCTCACCTGCATTTATGCTGTTCAACTGGTTCGAGGGTATATCAACCGAGGTCTGTACGGGAAAGTCATTCATTTTTGTACGGATTTTAAGATCTTTTTGTAAGTTACGATACCCTCACCCGTCGTCTCAAACTAATGGGTAGTGTTTTCGTTTCTCTCGTCGCCGCCGGCATATTCATTGCAGGTTTTTTATAGACCAACGCGCTTTTCACTAACAAACCCATGCGCGCACGTGCAGAAACCAGATTTTCATGGGGTGAAGCGCATGCGCATGCGCCGTGACGATAGCAGCGCCACCACAGCGGCCTGACGAAGTAGTGAAAGAGGGTAAGAGAAAAAGGAGAAAAAGTCTGCATGCGCTTTCCTCCTTTCCTGGGTGGTTAGGTACGAGCAAAAGACCCGGATGAACGCCTTGGACGCATGTGTTCCTTCAAGTTCGGGTGTTGTCTTCGCGGTTTCCTCTACTTTATTTTGCTTCCAGATGCAGTTAGAGCGAGCGGAATCAATGACGACACTCCCTTAATTATCTGGAGATCATTTGTCGGTAATAGGCTGCACAAATAACAACCGGAAGCACAGAATATTATCGGATGACATCCGTATCGTGTACGGGATTCAACAAGGCAACTGCGGCAGCACTGTCTTCAAGCTCCATCGCTTTCCAAATGATCAAAACTTGCGGCGGCAGTGGGTTGCGTCAGCAGACGAAAATACGTTTCCCTAACGGCGTCCCATGGAGTGTGCTCAGAACGTTTCGTGAATAGAGCGCGCACCGAACTTACCGCTGTACCCTCGATGAACATAGCCGAGCTACTCTCGCAAGGTGGGCGCGAGTTTCTTCAAGAATCGCCGTTTCGGATTGTAGCGTTTTGTAACTTAATTTGTCTTAATTCTCATATGTTGCAGTGGTAACATTGACTCGATTTTACCATATACAACGCTTTGTTGAAGGCTCGTTTCTGCCACCAGGTGGGGCTGGAAATCGTCGAAAAGTTAGTTCATTCGGTTGTTCTTAATCGTGATCACCTGTGCGATGGCAGACAGCCGTGAAAGTACGTTGACCGTCACAACTGGGTTCTTCTTATTTTGCAAATTAGTACATAGCGTAGCTAAAAAAAAATTCAATTTGTAGTGCTGAAACATGCTCATGCATCGATTTCGAACCGTTGACTCATTGACCGACTCGTTTCAGCAATGGGCAAATTTGGACCTCGCTGGTTTCAGTTCTAAACAAAGGACACAATCGTAGACAGGGTATCCTTCATTAAAACCTTTATAAACATCTGCAAGCTGGATTGAGCTGTCTTTGATCGTTCCCTGCAATGCACTATTTCACGCGTCATTGTTCAGATTAAACACAAGAAAGACTAAACCTGAAAGGTGCACAAAACAACACACTTCTCCGTCCTTAATCTTTTATTATTTCTTGTATTTAACCTTCGTCGCTAACGCGCTCAACTAAATTTTATTGTTGTGGACGACACGAAACGCCGCTTAAGAAAATTTTCGGCACACTGCATCTAAGACGCCAAAACCTGAAGGAAAATTTAATTGCGGTTAACTGAAGCACTATTTTGAGTATTTTCTTTCGACTTCTATTGGTGTCGCTTTCAGTTCCGTGACTTCCGTCCGTGGCGCACAAAAACACAAGACTCGCCATAAGTCGGATACCCAACAATTTAGAGCACCCAACGCGGGAGCGGCTGTCCGAATAGCACTCTCGCCAACGTTTTCAAGCACTCAGCATGGCCGCAGAACCTGACGCTAGCTAGATGGCACCACAGTATTCAAAATGGTTATGCCCACAATAAAAGGGTGTATAAGTTCTGAAGCGATCCGAAAAAAAAAAGAACGAAGAGGACATTTGGAAAGAGCTTTTTGAAGTGCTGCTTGCGCGTCGGCATTTAACCAGGCGGCTTTACCAGAACCACCTCTCGCCATTGTTTTGAACTATTGAGTTCATGCATGTTTAGGTGTTCAAGCGGCATATAGGCCTCAGAACTTCACGTGTGATTTTCCAGAAATTTTAACGCCGAACAAGACTAAAACTTCCGCAAATTTGAGGACTATTTGTAATGCATTAAGATATTATGTAGTTTTTGGCTGTGGGCTAATTTAGAACTACCACACGATCAATCCCCGGTGCCAAGGATGCCGTAAATTGGTCTTCTCTTCGACAACAAAAGTGTCATTCTTTTAGAAGAGAAGGGTTTGATAGGCTTAAGATACGAGTAAAATGAACCTCGGCTATGTACTTCGGAAGCGTTATGTAACGTGCTTGCTAAGACAACTGAAAAGCGACTAATGTAAAGCTTTGCCAATTGAAGGCTACTTCTTCAATCATAATATCTATAACGCTCTAAATAACTAGATGAGCTTGTGCTTGTAGACGAGTTAATAAACGTGCAATACCATCTGCGGCGTGTTTTTCTTTTTTTTTCTTCTTTTTTTTTGAGCTTTAACTGGTGCTCAAGCCGCGCGAGTGCGCGCCACTCCGGTACATCTCCCTGCAAAGCCGCAGAATTTTCTTTTTTTTATTGCAACGCAGTTTAAGTTTTACTGCCTCCTCAAACATATTTTGAATCCGCTATCTTGGATTCTTCCCGCTGGCCTGAGAGTATAGCTGGCAGCTCACGGCCCTATCTATCAGCTTGCTAGTTTGCTCACGTTTCTGTGGTGCCTCTTATTTAGTCTTTAGTCTTTATTTATTTGGCTCTGGAGTGCCGCGGCACCGCGGAAAGGCAGCAGCCCGTACCATGAAGGCCCGCGGTGCCGCGTCTAGTGAACATGATAATGTGATGAGTATATATACAGGGGAAGATGACGACGACATGAATTGGTGGTAGTGGGGAGGATAGCAGTCCGATACGCAGAAGTCCAAATTTCGTGGAGGCGGGTTGGGTGGGTGAGCGGCGAGCCATGGGGATCTGGCACGCCGTACGATCGGTGGATGAAGGAGCCCCAGGAACATGATGGCGTTGTTGCTCAATGGGTCCACTTCAGTCGAAGCATCAGGCTCCAAGGAGGTAACCCAGTGAAAGTAGAAGCTGCCGTCTCCAAGGAAGCGAGGCCCAGGGCTCAGATTGAGGCACCGCCGTCACCCGGTGTGCCTCTTCGTTGAGAACGCTAACTACACAGCGTCTACGTTACGTGAGCGCACCACGAAATTACGAATAAAGCACAAAGTAAAAAGAAATGCGTCTTTGGAAACGAAGGAGAATTCGAACCGTATACCTTTGAGGCTAAAACAAAACGTGAGACAACGTCTTTACACTCATCTGCAACCGCGAAACGTCAGCGTGAAGGTTACAGTTACATGTACCAGGCTCGCTGAGATAACCTTCGGGCCACGAGTGCAAATTTTTTTATTGTTGTTTTTATCACTAGCGTTCAGAACTTTGACTTTGCGCGGCGCTCCTAGAGCTCATTTATGTCACAAGAATTTTCAAAACTTTTTTCTACAAGTGGAATCGCACGCTCGTGGAAATAAAGTGAAGAAGGATGCCATAAAGTGAAGAAGGATGCACGAGAATGGTAGCACCGCATCGCGGCGCTACCATTCTTATAAACTTCAGTACTGGAGGCCTTATGCCGAGCTCCCTCCATAGGCCGCAGTGACATTCTGAGAGTTGACCCACGTACATTTTAGGAGCGTACATGAAAGCAAATAACAGACTTGAAGTTAAGTATCCAACAGAAATTTGTCTGGCTGCGGGGGCGATACTTAAAGGACTTTCAACCAACCTCCAAAATACACGACATTCACAATTTCCAGCCCTACTTCACCTCTTATTCAGGGGTGACTATGACTTCAGCCTTAAGGAAACAGAATTCTTCGCCTTTTTCTTGTAATAAACGTAACATCAAGCGCCAAATAAATTTTGCAATCGCTGAGATGTGTCTGAAAAAACGTTTCAATTTTTGACATCGGACGTTTCGTTACAAATGATGTGTTGTCAAGACATATGAGCGAAGCATTCAAAAGAAAAAAAGGAGAAGAAATCTGCTACTGAAAATAAAGTCATCAAAGTTCAAAGGCTATAAGAATTAAACGCTCTCAATTGCAAAAGAAATGAAGCCAGGCTAAAAAAAAACACGCTCCTTGAATGGTCTACAGTTAAGGCAGCGCTTTTAGTGAAGTTGTTAAAAAAACGGCGAATAAAATATTTGTGGAAAGTAATTTTTACTGGTTCACTTCTGAACTTGTTCTAATTCTGTTTAGTGATTGGGGAAAAAATCGATAAAACACTAGTCAACATAATACCAGATTAAAACCTGTCAAGGGACAAATGAACTGGACACATTTGTGTAAAACGCGTAGCCTTACTCGTAACTGCAAACATGTTTCTCGTTCCACAAATAGGGACGTAAAATTGCTTACAAACAAGTGGCTTCTTCAGCTCATTAAAAAGAAAATTTAAATGCTATACCCGAGGACAACTTTCTGTGAGTCCAGAGGAGGAGCGCGCGTTGTGGGAAATGCTATAAACACCCACCGGCAAGCCGTCTCCCACGTAGACCACGATCAAGCCAACCGGACAGGGCCGCCTATTGGAACTTTCTCACACTGTAAAACCATGAAAATAATCCAGGGCCCTGATTGTCTCCTTGAACGTCCAACTTTCTCGCAAGGACGGGACGACGGTGACCCTTTCGCGCTCATTGTTTGAGATAAAAAAAATGGCTCGTGACAGTAAAGAGAGCGAAGCTGACGGCGACGTACCATGTGACGGCCGATGATATTTGGCGGTAAACAACAAAGGCCGTGGATTCTCAAAACTATCTTACACTGATCGTACACACCTGGTCGTAAAAGAATTCTTAAGGGTCCTTCGGCTTGGCCAGCCTTTGAACCCTAAAATTTATTTTAAGCACTCCCTAAATGGGTTGTCATTGAAAAAC